CGGGGTGGATGCTACGCCCAGCATCGATATATTCATCAACAACGTCGTGTGCACATTCGGCGTGCGCTGCCACTTGAACTTGAAGAAGATCGGCATGGAAGGGGTGAATGTTGAATACCGAAGGGAATACGGGGTGAGAAGACTGCTTAATTTTTTTTGAATAGTGTATGTTATGCAGAGTGTGGTCGTCAGGAAGGATATCACAGAGTTTTCCACTAAATAGAGCCAATAAAATCCTTTTTTATCTGTCTGGAATCTCTTTGTAGAAAGTTAACATGAGGTTTCGGAATCCAGCAGCGACCTGCACAATATGGTCGTCAGGAAGGGTATCCATCACTGGAAACAGTAGGTGAGCAGGTTTCAAAGAGTCTAACTCTCATAAGAACCAAACTGGCCTATGTATTTTACCCCTTCAAAAACCTTCCTCTGTCTTCTAGATTCGACATCAAGTTCCCATGTCAGGTAATGCATGTAGTCCCTGGAATCTACCTTCCTCGAAATCCTTGGATATTTTCCAAAATCTGCAGGTGCATTTGTGAAGGATTTTGGATAGTTTGAGATGTATTGAGGTTAATCACTTTGTGGTTAAAAATGTTGGTAATTTCCAGCAGCCTGGTCTTTTGTTACGAGTACGGTCTTTTGTTACAAGGCCCAGTTCCCTTTGTCCGATTTCGGAGACCCCGGCCACGTGTTTAAAGAATATGTGTCTGGTACCGGCAACCCCAGAGGCAAGTGGTTAACAAATGTGTGAACCTCTCTTGAACAAACTTGTTCGCATGGTTTTTGTGGGTGAGGATAGACAACATCATAGACTGTTCCTTGGTCCATCAGTTACTGAGCCTGTGGCATCGAACTCTCATGCATGTTGCTCGCATTCTGAATCTTGAAGCAGAGTTTGGTCAGTGACCACTTGTAAAACCACAGTCAATTTTGACTGGTAACCTACATGTATGCATAAAATATCACCTGGGTAAAATTGACCCTTGGTCAAAAATGGTTGCTGATTAAACTTGGTGCAAGGCGAGCATTTATTTTTGCAAGTTAAAATGCCCTGTCACGCCATGTTAGAAGAAGCATTTCCCGTCCTGTACACAGTTTTCAGACAGTAGTGACTTCAAATACCAGTGTTACAGTTGAGACCTCTTGACACAATCCCAATACGAATGCAAGACCAGCACAAGACCTCCAATCTGAATTTAAGTCACAGTCATTGTTCACCCTGTTACTTGTGATTGGTCTTGTGGTGGTCTTGTGTCTGGTCTTATGAGTGGTCTTATGAATGGTCTTGTGACTGGTCTTTTGACTGGTCTTTATGAATGGTCTTGTGACTGACTGGTGACTAGTCTTGAGTCTGGTTTGTGTCTGGTCTTAAGACTGGTCATGTGTCTTGTCTTGTGACTGGTTTTGTTTAGACTGGTCTTTTGTCTGTTCTTGTGACTAGTCTTGTGTTCGGTCTTGTGTCTCGCCTTGTGTGTGGTCTTGTGCCTGGCCTTGTGCCTGGTCCTTTGTCTGGTCTTGTGTGTGGTCTTGTGGCTGGTCTTGTGGCTGGTCTTGTGGCTGGTCTTGTGGCTGGTCTTGTGTCTGGTCTTGTGGCTNTGGGGTGGACGCCACGCCCAGCATCGATATATTCATCAACAACGTCGTGTGCACATTCGGCGTGCGCTGCCACTTGAACTTGAAGAAGATCGGCATGGAAGGGGTGAATGTGGAGTACCGAAGGGAATACGGGGTGAGAAGACTGCTTAATTTTTTTTGAATAGTGTATGTTATGCAGAGTGTGGTCGTCAGGAAGGGTATCACAGAGTTTTCCACTAAATAGAGCCAATAAAATCCTTTTTTATCTGTCTGGAATCTCTTTGTAGAAAGTTAACATGAGGTTTCGGAATCCAGCAGCGACCTGCACAATATGGTCGTCAGGAAGGGTATCCATCACTGGAAATAGTAGGTGAGCAGGTTTCAAAGAGTCTAACTCTCATAAGAACCAAACTGGCCTACGTATATTACCCCTTCAAAAACCTTCCTCTGTCTTCTAGATTCGACATCAAGTTCCCATGTCAGGTAATGCATGTAGTCCCTGGAATCTACCTTCCTCGAAATCCTTTTTGTCAGGTCTTGTGCCTGGCTTTGTGTCTGGTCTTGTGTCTGGTCCTGTGTCTGGTCTTGTGTCTGGCCTTGTGTCTGGTCTTGTGGCTGGTCTGGTGACTAGTCTTGTGTCTGGCCTTGTGTCTGGTCTTGTGGCTGGTCTTGTGAGTGGTCTTGTGTCTGGTCTTGTAATATCTTGAACATAGCACGTTCAAAAACATGTAAATGTCTGCATATCCATAAACCCCAAAGAAAAACTTGACAGATTTTTTAATCTAAGTTGGTTTCCAATAAACCCGTACTCGTTCTCGCTGATATTTTTGGCAGCGAAGAGGATGCCAAGAAGACAGCCAGGCGGTGCGCGAGGGCGCTGCAGAAGATGGGCTTCCGTGTCCGCTTCTGCAACTTCCAAGTGGTCAACGTGTTGGGGACGTGCTCCATGCCGTTCGGCATCAAGATAGCGCAGTTTGCAATGCAGCACCCACGAGCCGCAAGGTACGTGCTTTTCGCGTCCGCTCCAACCACTCAGTGCAAGAGGACTTGCGAAATTGCAGTGGCCTTCCGCATTAGTACCGAGGTCTTGTGTGCCAACCTTGGACGCCCAGTGAGAACCTGTGAATAGCAGAGGTCCATGTGAACGCAGGTTGTGCGACCCCGTAGTATGGACAGAGGGGGCGAGTCTTCCTCCCTTCCCCCTTCCCCTTCCCCCTCCCCTGCCCCCGAGACACGTGTGCCATTTTTTTTTCTTGAATTGTTCTGAATTGAAAGCACCAGCAGTTGCAAAGTGGTTCTTCCACCTTTAGTGGCCAGTGAGGAATTTTGACTGATGAAAGAACTCGGACCATTGTTTTTGGAAAATAATCTATCCCCTCCCCAGACCCCAAACCTGGGGCGAACCATGTGTGGGCTAAGTCAGGTCAACAAGGTAACCCCTCTTTCTGGACGGCTCTACTCATGCTTCCACATTCCCGTTGCTTCTTTTCAAAGTGGGGGCTATTGTGAAGCTGGTGATTATGATGCAAATTCGGCCTTTTCATTTCTTGGCCAGTCACTATATATACAAAAACCAGGGTATGCCTTCTTTCACCGGGTTCACTTGAGCGTGGGCCGAGAATAATAGCTGAAAAGCAGGCTGAGGGATCTCTATTTTTATGGCGGCTCTTACCGCTTCCCAGTGAGAAGGGATTAACACATCACATATATGTTTACATTTAACTCTAATCCTGGCTGACGCATCTGTACTGTTTGTGCTCTGTGGTCCCCGCCCCCCCCCACAGCTATGAGCCCGAACTTCATCCGGCAGTCACCTACAAACTGAAATCCCCACGGGCCACACTGAAGGTCTTCTCCACTGGGAGCATCACAGTCACAGGTAGGTGGTCAGGTTGCCAATCTCACTGAGCCACAGTTAGGCACAGAAATATATTCAGGCATTACTTGCTTTAGCAAAAACAGATTTTAAGTTTCTGTGTACCCATGGGCGTAGCAAAGGCATTTTTTTGGGGGGGGGTGTGTACCAGAGTCCGCTTGCCCACTTGTTCGCCAAGCTCATGCCGTGTAAACTGGGAAATTCGTGGTGTGCTAATTTCATGCTTCAGGGGAAATAGCGGTAGCCATTGCACATCATTTATATACCAATTTTGGATTCATTTGCCAACTGAAGCACTATTTGCTGACTGGAGTAAATTATTGAAGGGGTGCTGCCGCCCCCCCCCCCATTTCACAACGCCCCTGTGTGTACAACGTTCCTGGTGCCACTGTGAATAGTGCCATTATTGTATTCATTTGTTGGCCGGTTGGCCGGGCCTGTTGACTTCAAAGTCTGTATTCTTCCTTCTCTTTGACTTGCAGCGCCTTGTGTGGAGAACATCTCACTTGCAATACAGCACATCTACCCGCTGGTGGAGCCCCACGCCACCCCGCTACGGGAGGAGGTCGCCCTCAAGAGGAAGATGAAAAGTGCCAAGAGGCGGAAACGGAGGAAGGTTGACGACAGCGAGGACGACGACTATGACGACGATTTGGAAGACGACGACGATTTTGACAACGTTGATTCGGCGAACGATGACGATTCGGGTGACGATTCGGATGAAGATTCGGATGATTTGTGACAGGGCTGCTTTAGTCAACTTTCACTCAGATGGTATATGCAAAGAAGCAAGGCAGACATGTAAATTCCAGAACATTTGTCACAAGAGCAGCGGGTAATCTCTGTTCTCTGATTTTGAAGATCTGGAAGATTGTGGTGATCTGTGGGATTCAGTTCGGAAAATCCTTTGAGTGATTTGTAGCAAGGATGATTTCTGTTAGACACCGAGAGAAGCGTTTCACTATTACATGTACCCAACAAGGATACTGTCAGCATGCATTCTTCCCAGTGTACACGCGTTACACCGCAGTCCTGCATTGTGTTACCCACGATCCTGATTTGTGGAGTGGCTATGCATGAAATATTCCTTAGCGTAGGTTATAGTGCTTAGCAACAGACAGCGGGGAACCAGTAAGTACACTGCATGCCATTCTGGCCAGTTGTCCATTTTTTGCCAATGAAGTCGCTCCTGTGCCAGCAGATCTCGTCTAACTTCAAGAACCTCTGCGAACTTTGGAACGAATTGTTTTTTGTTCCTCTCAAAAATGGGGGGGGCATAGTCCTAAGAAAAGGGACAAAAGTTTTCATTTGTGAATTATAACAAAAGACGGACTTTTCCTCCTTCGCTTATCAAAGTGTGTTAAAAGCCGTAAAATTATGCACCCCCCCTCAGAAAGCTCTTGGACAGGTTGCTTCAAGAAATTCCCAAATATCTTGGCCCCTTCTTCCGAAAATTTGTTCCGAAATCGGTCCTTTTCCTGTAGTCCTACAGACCTTGCTTTATGGAAGTTTGAAAACAACCAAAACGCTGTGAGGTGATGCATGTTTGTCCCACCCCCTTCCACTAGCAATGACAGACGCAAAAAGACTAACGGTATGACTCGATTCGAGAATGTGAGACGTGATGGTAAACTCCGTTCCCGTGTTTTGTAACTAGTAAACACAGTCATCAAAGAATTCAAACAAATTGGTTCATTGAAAGGGTCTCCGAAAATCATTTAGACATTTCAAGTTGTTAAACTCATAATCTTACCTTCTCCCCCCAAAAAAAGCTGTCTGAGTTTTCATTTCTTTCCAGGTTTCCGTGGCGAAGACCACCGTATTGTTTTTATTTATAGTTTGAAAAAGCATTGATACCGTTCGTTTTTATTTATTGTTTTGGAAAAACATGTGTACTGCCATTTCTCATCGGTATGAGCATGTGTGTTAGACGATAAAGAGATTTGTAATGAAGAAAATTGGTTCCGCAGGAATGGTTATCTTCAGTGCTATTTTAGTATAAAATTGTCTGTCTTGAAAGCTTGTTCTAAAGTGAAACCCCCCAAAAAATGATGAATTATCCCGTACATATGCTTATGTAATGCTGCAATTGGATAATAGAGATTTGCATGGCTGGCATCTCCATGGCGTCTCAGAGGCTGTATTTGTTATTTTGATTTAGTTCCAACGAATGCGAAAAAGGTTTACTGAAGCCTATCCCCGTGACACACAACTCTTGCCCTCTATAAAAGCGTTAACGCATAGCCTCTATTTGGCACTGGCTAGTTTTGGCTACATGTGCCCCACAACTCCGTGGTAGGAGGTTATCAGAGTCGGCCGTAATTTCTTGGTCTGCTTCTCCAAATACATGTAGCAGTGGTTTGCAGTACTGGTTACATGTAACTGTCATTCCAATGCTGAAATCAATGCAAGGGCACACTGCATTGTGGGAAGAGGACGGCATCCCGAGACTTAGTTACACATTGATCACTGCATCGTAGTACCCTCAACTAAAATATTGCAACTCTTTGTTCTTTTCACTATGATTTTTCGCAAATTTTCTTGTTCCGTCCGCTCACATCGATGTCACCTGTGCAATTTCTGGCCATCATGAAAGCGTTGTAGCTGGTGAAGAGTTGCATACATGTCGTTATGGATATATGGACCCACGAGCTAGATGTAGACCTTTTGGTAGACAAACATTGGGGATGAACTTGGTCATAAATTGCGCCTACACGTATGAAACCGTATTTTTGTGTTAATTATGCCTCATGAATATTTATCCTTTTCCTCAGCTTTTCATTACCGTCTTCAAGGTGTGCTGTTAATTGTAAATTATGCAATTAGCATGCTGGCTTGTGAATATTCACATGGTGTGGTACCAGAAAATATGACATTGTTCAGTTACATGTAGTTAAAAAGTTGATATGTGGTTACAATCTACATTGTATTTGGTTATAACATGCGTGCAGCATGACGATTATAAATTGTATAAAATGTTGACAAATAATCCATTGGACTTTCAGTTATGATCTTTAAGTGAAGTATTTCAGCCCATGAAAGTAGTGGCGTAACTGGGGTGCATTTGGCAGGGGGTTACTTGGGGGAGCCCTTCGGCTTCTAGAGGAGGAAGTTAACGGTTTCGGTTACTGTTCAAACATACCCATTTCGGCACTTAAGACTTCCTCATTGAGCTTCATATAAATTTGTAATGCAGACAGAACCCACTGACTTGGCCAAGATGTTGTTTACCGTATTAGTTATTTATAAAAACACATTGCATGTTCCTATGGAGTGTTATTTGTAGAAACTTTAGAATTACTGACTTTCGTTTACTGGTAACATGTGTATATATTTAAGAGGCAACAGTGGCTCTAAATAAAGAAATTGACGTTTGTAAAACTTGTTAGCTATTCAGATTTTCTCCTCCAAAAACTAACTGCATATTACAGTCCAAAAGCCTTGCATATGGTACTTTATTCAGCAGTCACAACATAGAATACATTGTACAACCAGATAGAAAAAGAAATATTCAGAATTGAAAAAAGAGGAAGATGTGTATCCAAAACTCAAGCTGTTTTCATTTATAGTCCACTGGATAACTCAATTATTGAAGTTGCTAATGGCAAGTTTGTATCAAACACTATAGAGGCTTTGCGTGGTAGCCATCTTGCTGGGAAGTTCTTTTGTTCCACAGGGAAACCTTTGTGTATACCCTGTGGAACAGAATCACTGGCCTGCAAGATGGCTGCTGTGCAAACCCTCTATAATGGGAAAAGGCCTCTATGGGGGAAAAAGTGCTTCACTCCTGTGGAGAAAATTTGACAGATTTTGGTCAAGAATTTTGTATTTTGGTTGAGATGACTTCTCTCCCCGCGGGGATTGTAATGAAAAAATAAACCCCTTCTCCCGCACTGGTCAAACCCATGGGTCAAGAGTTGGGGCACCATTTAGTTGACCAGAATCGTTAACTTTATGACAAAGATAAATGAAACCCCAAGAAAGGGGTAAAATCGTGCATCCATTCAACACTTTCTCCAAGCTCGACTTCACGTATGATGGGGATTCCTTTTTGACCTCCAAACCAGTCAATGGTCTTTGATGTTTTAACCAAAATAATGAAACACTTCTCATCTCTGACTTTATCTCATGGGATTCCCAGTATCCAGGAGTAAAACTTGACCCACATTGGATAGAAATCTGCAAAGTCAAGGATGTACTAAATGTAGACAGAGCCCGGGATGAAACTGAAGCAAAGGTTAAGAAAGTGCGTCCCAGAATGCAAAGCTGTAAAAGCCGCATAAATTTGCGACAAGTGCAATCCATTAAGACCTTCACAACAGCTGTCATCCTAAAAATCATGGACGCACAAAAACAAAGAAAACACATGACAAACAAGAGACTGACGCCATAATGCTGAATATTTTTGCATATCACAGGAACAAAGCACCACACTTTTGAAACGATTTCAATATCTGCCTTAAAGCGTCACCGACATATATACACAGAACGTTCTTTGGAACAGCTTAGGTTCCATACACTGGCATCAGAAAGTACGTAAAAATAAAATCAACATTTCATAAGATGGGAACTGGCTTTATGAACTTAAACTTTAAGATTGTCTCTCTCTATTAAAACTATTAAGTAATATCTCATTGAGTACTTCGTAGTTCTGGTAAAGAAAAATTCAAAAGATAAAACCTAGACTGGCACAGCACGTTTGACATCAACAACTGTTTCACAACGTGAATTAGTCTATGGACGGGCACAATTCTTCATCTCCAGTAATATTTACAAATAACTTAGCTCTGTTTAAAACACAGGAGAAAAAGCACGTCAAGAAAAGTAACAACTTAAAAAGTACAATCATTATTTCAGAGAAAAGGAATGTTACAGTGAAACTAGAGGTCATTTGAGAAGTACTGAAATGTGTTTTCACCTATCTTTTTCACGCACAATCCACTAGGGGTGCAGGTTTCTAACTACACACGACTCAGCGATGCACACACACAATTTACACTACACATAATGCTAGCCTGGCCTAACATGCACACCACTGTACTGGGCTTCACTAAACAGCAAATATAAAATAGAGGTTTTGCGTGGTAGCCATCTTGCAGGGCAGTTCTTGTGTTCCACAGGGAAACCGCCTTTGTGCATACCCTGCGGAAAAATAGCACTGGCCTGCAAGATGGCAGCCACGCAAACCCTCTATACATGTACTCCTAATGGAAAAATTCCATTCAGAAGGCACTGCACTGAAGTGGTGCCATACTTACACAAACACACATTCTTGTGTATGAGAACCTTTTGGTAATGATCCCATTGTGAAAGAACACAGCAAGCAAAATGTACAATATGCAAGTACTGAATTACCTCTGCTCAACTTTTCAGTATTAAAGGTCAATCAATTAGTGTACAAACATGGGCAATGCCAGGTTTACATCCAAGGGAAACTTCCGGGGGGGGGGGCATTCATTAGCATCAAACTGATGAACCATTTACACCGGAAGGGAACCAATATTGATGTTTTTCAATGAAATTGCTGCTTTTCATCCCTTTTAAAGTTTTCTGTCATTTTTATTTTTTTTCTGGGGAAGGGGGGAGTTGCCTCGCAATGCCAATGTATACATATTGTGTATCATTGTAGTGAGACACTGAGTTACCAGACTGCGGAAGACAAACACTAACACACTTGTGTAGCAGACGGGATTACCTCTGGGACAAACCTTGGTCTTTGGTTCAGGAAGCAGCTAACTGAAACACATAATGAATAAAGGTCCTTTTCATATATGTTTGTTGACTCCAGTTAAGACTGTGCAGCAACATCGCAGTAATTTAGTCGTAGATTTTCAGACTTTGAATCAAAGAGGTAGACAAAAAAATGATATCTGGTGGAGATCTTAATGGCAGGAATACATGTAAGTTGTGGCATTTAATGTACAATTATGTGATTGTCGTGAAAATGTTAAAAAAAAAGAACAGTACTCTGAAACACTTCTGGTAGATTATTCAAGTTTGATACTTAGAATCACTAGCATGAGAATACATATGCTGATCAAAGTTGGTGGAAACATTCTAAACTGGTCCAAGTCCATTCAGACCCACTCAAAACTGGCCCAAAATTTTTAACAAAATCATCCAAGACCAATATACATGTAATTGGCCCCTGTCCAAAATTGACATTTCTCTAATTTGACAGTTTAATTTATTTACTTGGATTCCAAGAATACAATTTTTGTTCTTTTGAGCAGCATACATTGGTGACTGTTTAGACCCCAATAACAGCACTCTTTGTTATAGAAACGAGTTACATCATCACACACATAAAAATGACTTTAGCTCTTTTCACACGACGACAAAAAAACTAGCAAGGTTTGAGAAATTTTCTCATGCTTGAGAAATCTTACAAACTTGCCATCGTGTGAAAGGTCGCTAATGCTTGAGAGTGACAAGCATTCCTGGTGAATCCTTGAGATTTTTTGGAGGAGGTCTGGACCTACGACAAAATCTTCTGCTAGCGGAAGATTTCTCAAGCAACCCATGAGAAACGGTCGTGTGAATGGACGCACTGTTTATTGTACAATATCCCCTGAGATAACCTACACAGTGAGCATGCATAGTGACCTGCAATCCCACACAGCACGAGCGCCCTTTAACTTCATTTCAGGCATGATATGTCCAGCGATCCTGGCGTGGCGCACTCGCCAGTGCAATAGGGAATACCTTCCGCGACTTCCCAGCACACATGGCTATTGTGGACCATGCCGTCTATTTTCGCCATAATCCCGACGTTTTCCATGGCAGTTATAAGGCTTAGAGTCTCATCATACTCCCAGCCCCTCTTGGAACTTTTCTGCTATTTGGTACTCTCCGAAACATTGGTTTCGGGAGAACGTTTTATCATCTGCAAGTTTGACTCTGCCGATGTAGCATGAGCCATTTTTCATTGATGGTCTCCAACCTTTGACCTCTCATTGCTCTGGTACTAGCGGTATTTGTGCTCAGTAAGTGTGGAGTCCACTGGCAACCCGCGGAATAAGTGTAAGCGTCTCACGGTGCCGTGTGAAAGGGACCCATCACAGTCTGTAAAGTAAACAATCCCTGCTCTGAAATTGTGTCTCAAGCCTTGCGAGTTTTTTTGTTGTCGTGTGACAAGGGCTTTTGCCTCTTCCAAGATAGGAGGTTTGTATGGTTTACCTAATCCTTTATAATCCGGTGTCAACCAGACTGATTTGGTTTGATCCTGTTCCTATCACTCCAGGCTCATATCTAGAGACCTGAACCGGACTGATCTGGCTCAGGCGGATTAAACTAGACGGTCTGGTGCAGGTCTCCATCTGGACGTGAGTGCACAGTGACCTGAACCAGACTAATCCGGTTCAATCTAGTTCCTGACTCCACACTCACATCCACAAGGAAACCCATAACAGACTGATCCGGCTCAATCCATTACATGTCACTACACGTTCACATCCAGGAAAGCCGAACCATCCTGATCCAGTTCAATCCAGCTTCTGACCGTTCATGCTCAACAGACAGACGGAGGCCTGAAACTGATCCAGTTCAATCCAGTTCCAGTCAGTCCACCCTCACATCCAGAAGGAGACCTCTTTCTTAGGCTTCCAGTTACTGTTCATGCTGTTCAGGTCCACCACTTGGCATGAAACACTTGACTCCGGATTCTACAAAACAAAAAGACAATCAAAAAACAAACAAAAGTAAATTAACTACAAATGAACCTAGCTGTCCTTTACAAGGTTTTAGTACCTGCGTGATTATTTTGTGACATAACCTGTAGTTGTAGAAAAATCATCCAGTGATAAAATTACACTGACATCAACCCAAAACTCCTTGAGTAACGATGCTTGAGAGAAATGCTCATGGTTACATCAGACAGGACTGGCTTATCTATTAAACACAATAAACACTCTTTTACAAGAAATTCAGGGTCCTACCAAAACACTGTAGTGTGCCATAAAAATCCCACACAGAAGAATGCTCAAGGCTTGCTAGTACAAAGCTTAGCACAGCTTGGCATGGGGTAAATTGGTGCTTCAGCGGTGAGAAGCTCAAATGCCTGGCTATTTTAAGGTTCATGGTTTCAGTGTTTTTGAACAGTTTGCCACACCTACCTCCCCCAAGGAATGCGACTTGCCAAAGCGGGCGGCTAGCCTGGAGCGATGGCTGGCTATGTCTGGTGATGCAAAGTCTGAGCTTCGTCTGATGGTAAACACATAGTGTAAACAACCAATTATACATGTAAGAGGTACATGATGAACTCTGACCATCTGGACCGGACACAGTAGAAAACGAGTACAAATCTGTACACATACCACATTATTCACTCGAAGACTATTCCCAAAGGTGACTAGCTGAGCCTCGATTAACCCCTATATCTGTTTCAGTTTTTCTTATCCGTTTTTCTTTTCCTCTCTTGTTCTTAACAATAATCATTTACTGTTTTCTTCCAAGCACTGAAACGGATAAATTAAAAGCTTGACATGATCATCAACACTGATACCAAATGGTGAATTTTAATACAGCGTTATGATGACATCACCAGGCATCCAGCTGGTTTACAAATGAGTACACTGTTTGCAAAGTAAGTCAGAAACCTACCAAATATCCAGCTCATAACTTACTAGATGGACAGTAACTTGTAGAAAGTTTTTTAATTAAACAAAAGCATTTTAATATCTTCTTTCCATCCTCTTTTTAACCTCTACTCACAATAGTTCAAATGATCTTTTCTTTCAGCTATACAGGAATTACCTGAAGCACAAAACAGTTTTTCACACCACAGGTATAATTTCAATTGTAAATAATGATGTAAACTTCACCACAACAAGACACTCTCAAAGAACATCAACAATGCCCACCTTCTTAATGGTGTCTGGTCGTGCCCATTCTGTGGTCCAATATTCAAGTCAGGCACGCTCTCACCTAGAAATAAATATGTTTTCATCATGAGAACACTGGGACCCTCAATAGATATACCAATCGCTTACAGAAACAAGTATACATAACTTCCATATTTAGAAAGATTAATGACCAAGGAAGAAGGTTCCCATGTGGAAATTTTTCTCTGCAATTTGGTTTATCCAACTGCCACGATTGCTACATCAGTCACGGTTCCAAGACTATGCTACCCTCCCTGAACACAATCATCTAAAGTCATATAATTGGAAAAGAAAGAACTGTATTGACAAGAAGGACTTGAGAAATGCAATAAACAAAGGAAGGAAACAAATTTATCTGGCATTCAAACCCAACAGCATAACACCGTCCCAAAACACCAGGATTATCCAACAGTCCTATCCACATGGATTGGCTTCAAATCTGGGCCCAGATAAAATTACACGGGTGAGTTCAATTCTGCAACAGGTCTTGACAACAGATAAATGGATTGAATTGATTCAGCAACAGGTCTTGACAACCGGATAGCTCACTTGTCAAGGGGTCCGACTGGCTTGTCACCATGGATCCTTTTCTGCGCCTCCGACCCTGTTTCTTCTCCTTCTCGCTGTCCGTCTCGCTCCCTTTCCCCCTCCCTGTGCGTCGCCCCTTGCGGGTGGGGCTGTGTGAGGCGCTGCGTCGCTTCAACCCCGATGGTTTCTTGCGTCTCTTGGTAGGTTCCGAGCTAAATGAGTAAGTAGTTTTTAGTCACATTTTAAAAACCTGTCTTCAGTGTTTTCTGTACAAGTAACTCGACCACTTTCTTGTTAGATGTGGAAATCTCATGGACAATCTTGTATCCAAGTCCATCGCAAGTCCCTGTAAGTCCATCACAACTCATTCCCTCTAATGCCAATTCACAAGCTAGTCAAATCAGCTGTGACAAAAGCATTTTATGCACCCTGTAACGTATGATAGGTCTTGTGACTGGATTCGTGAAGGGACTTGTGAAAGGACTTATGATGACTCCAATGCAACACTGCTCGTGGAGCTGTAAAGCTACACATGTACTTGAATTGTATCTTTAAAACATTCTTGCGTTTTATGTTTGTAACAGTTTTGATGGTTACAGTGGTGAAATACTGAATATTTGAAGTACAGGAATGCTAAGCAAGTTCTTATCCAGGGACTGGAATTAAGGCCAAGTTCTTATCCAGGGACTGGAAATAAGGCCAAGTTCTTATCCAGGGACTGGAAATAAGGCCAAGTTCTTATCCAGGGACT